AGTTACCCAAACTCTTCTCCTTCAAGATTGGGACACTTAACCCCCCAAAATGCCCAAGGCGCGTAGGGAATTCTGGGAGTTGAAGTCCACTCATCTTAAGGTGGACAAGTTTGGACAACACTGAGTTAGGCGCTACCTCCTGTTAGGAGGCATAGGAGTCCCATCGGTGAAGACCATGGGGAGAGTTCTCTCCTCACCCCTTCTCTTGCCATTTCATTGAAACAGCCAGCACGGAGCATTAAGTGTGACCCCCTTGTCCCTAAAGGAGCATCCAATTCCTCCTGTGAGATCTTCTCTGAAATTCCCTCCTCTGAAATCAGTTTCTAATGCAAAGACTCTTTCACCACACTGAATGAGGACTGGTAGGAAGTTGTTTTTCTCCCAACCTATCATATCGCCTTCAATGCTGTAATGGTGGGAACAACAAAACATTGCAACCGATTTACAGCGGACAGGCCGTTCTGCTCACCAAAAAGGAGGTGACCGACAGTGTTTTTTTAAAGGAATGGAAAATGTTTTGGTGCACAGAAGAGGCATAGTGGCAGGGGGAGAGATTGGAGCAATTAATGGTTTTTTTCAGGTGATATTTTGTGAAAAGATTTTCCATGCAGATGTGGAGGTCAGGAAGTCTGATCAGATGAGTCTGCTTTCCAAAATGCAATTTTTCTTACTGGGTTGGTGATGACATAGATAGATAGATAGATAGATAGATAGATAGATAGATAGATAGATAGATAGATAGATAGATAGATGGCAGTCTGGTAGCATCTTTTCCGACTAACAAATTTTATTAAAAGGCAGAGTCCACCTCCTGATGGTTGGCCACCATAGACTAACGTGGCTCTCCTCCTACAATGCTTTGTCAGATTAAAAGAACGTTTGGAAACGGCTTTCAAAGAGCAACTCAGTTCGCCAAAGGAGATCCGTGTCAGCCAATGTAAAATTCACCGTGGCAATTCCCAATAGGTAAAGGCCGCAGCAATTCCGCTATCTGAACCATGTCTCCCAAGGAGTTGTCTAACTCAGGGTTCCTCAACCGTGGCAACCTGAAGATGTGTGGACTTCAATACCCAGAATTCCCCAGCCAGGAATTCTAGGAGTTGAAGTCCACACAGCTTAAAGTTGCTGAGGTTGAGAAACCCTGCTCTAGCCCACCACCCAAGGATTTCCTAGTGTTATCTCCTTCAAGTACTAACCAGATTCAACCCTATTTAGCTTATCCCCAGTGTGGCCTGACAATGAGATAAAGGTTAGTGGCAAATAGATAAACCTTTTTGTTACTGCTATTGTTCAGATCTGGGAAGCCAGAATCTGTTGCTGATCTGTTGCAAACCATCCAGCAATTTACCACTGAATCCTAATCTTGTTTCATGCCAACTGCTGACACAATGGATACCTCCCCATGTAGGTAATGTCTTGGCTTACTTGCTTGAGCTATCTGTCTGTATGGAAGACTCTGCAGGTTGGGACCTGGGCCAAAAGGCCTTTGTATATCACCTTTCAGTTAACCCAGGCTCTTCCAGTTAGTGTTTCCTCTACTTCTTTCAACCACAGATGCCCTGCTCTGGCCCATTGCAAGTACACACTTACTTCAAGAAGGAGAAGGAGAAGGAGAAGGAGAAGGAGAAGGAGAAGGAGAAGGAGAAGGAGAGGAAGAAACAGGCAAATGCTGTGAACTAGTATTAATAAGTTTCTGATCCAGTGGCACTTAGGAGGATCAAGTCTCATTTTCAACAGTAGTTGGGTCTATAGCAGCTTAAATAAATGTAGTGTTACTCATGGATATACTTCAGCTAACATTTTTGACTTGAATATGTTGCAAGACACATTTTCCCTCTACAAGAGGAAGATGGGAGTGCAGCATGGACACATATGTATAGCTCTTATATTTGCGAGCCCTGGAATCTATCAGAATGGTTAAGCTTGTTATATCCCTTACAACCTTCCTAAATCAGGGTGCTGGGATGGGGGTGGGGGTTCAGGCTGAGTACAGCTGAGTGTGCAAAGACTTTGAAATATATAAATGCATGTCTTATCCTTAAGGGTAAGGATTTGGCATTTAAACAAAATGCTTTCTAGAGGTTGAGCAAAATTAGAGACTAATAAATATCTGTTGGGACCAGTTGCAAAAGAGCAAGAACAGAAATGTCTCTAACTCCACTGCTTTAGGGGCTTGTTTGCCCCTAAAGCAGTGTTTCTCAACCTTGGCAACTTGAAGATGTGTGGACTTCAACTCCCAAAATTCCCCAGCCAGCATGATCGTGTAACCGTGACTAATAAATATCTGTTGGGACCAGTTGCAAAAGAGCAAGAACAGAAATGTCTCTAACTCCACTGCTTTAGGGGCTTGTTTGCCCCTAAAGCAGTGTTTCTCAACCTTGGCAACTTGAAGATGTGTGGACTTCAACTCCCAAAATTCCCCAGCCAGCATGATCGTGTAACCGTGGGGATGTTGCGGTGGTCATAAGTGTGAGGACCGGTTATAAGTCACTTTTTCCAGCATTGTTGTAACTTCAAACAGTCATTAAACAAACGGTTGTAAGTTGAGGACTACCTGTACGTAAGTTGCAACATTAGGGGGATGATGTCATGCTGCAAGTGACATCATTTCCCTTCCTACCTCATACTCCTTTCTGAAAAGCTGGGCTGTGGGGTGGGAGTAGGACTGAGAGATGAAGATTTGCAAATTTCCAGCCTGGATTCATGTGATTAAGGGGAGATATTATGGTTAAGTAGTAATGGTACTAAGAAGTAATTCACAAACCACACGATTGCTTGATGCAATGTGTAAACCTGGCCATTGAAATCAATGAGACTGGCAAAATATTTGCTAAATGTTTATGGCAAGACAGGCTTCTAGACTGAATGTTTTGGGAGATTTTTGATAAGCTTTGATCCTTGGAGGTTTTCTCCCTTGACCTGTCTGGGCTGCATTACCTGGGGGCTGATGCTGAAATCCACCACTTTGGGGGACAACCCCATTGGAGAAGGTCAAATTGTACTTCTTCATTGTCCCTCCAAAGAACAACAATCATAATAACTTTTAGAAATTCCTCTTACATGTCCAAAGGGATCCAGGTGGTTGTTCGTGAGTTTTAGCTTCTGAAAAGACACCAGCTGTCGCATCCAATGAGTTCCAGTAGCCGGGGAGTCGGGGTGAACGTACAACCGTCCAGGCATGGCAGGTTCCGCTTTGCCAGCCACCATCCTATGTTCAAAGCAATACAAGACACTGAATTTCCCAGCCTCTATTTGTAAACTCAGCGAGGCAACTATCTAGCTCTTTGACAAACCCAGGCTTCCTTTTTTCAAACAAAGCCTTCATACAGAGCAGCACATTCAGCAAATAACGGGAGAAGAAACGGTCAATTTTCTTCTTCAAAAGCAGATACATTCTTTCCCAACTCATTCACCTTGTGAGTCTTGTTGCATCTGCTAATGTTTATGCTTCGTTCTTTGCCAAACAGTAAGAAAGCAATATCAACCTTCTCCAGATTCTGTAAAGATGGTGGAGGTGGTGGTGGTGGGGAGTCCTCCCAGCCTCAGCTTTCTCCAAAACAAGACTCCAGCCCTTTTCTGTCTACACCCATTTCTCTCCCTGTCCTAGACAACTGCTGTTCCTACAATGTCTGTTCCATTCAAGAGCCAGGCAGCAAATAGGAAAAGGGGGAAGCCTGGAGGACAAGTCCAGGAGGGACTTCTAGGAGGAGGGTTGAAGAATATTTTGCCTGGAGAAGAGAGAGGTGACATGATAGCTAACTTCACATCTTCGGGGGTGATCTAATGATGAAACAAGCTTATCTGCTTTCATTCCACAGGTTATATCTCAAACCCAAGAGTACAAATTAGAGCAAAGGGGATTCCAACCAAGTTTTAAGAAGAACTTCCTGGGGTCATGAATCATCTAACCATGAAATAAATTGGTTTGGTGGGCAGCAGGCTTCCCCTTCCATGAGGGATGTTTCAGGGGGGGATAGAAAGCCACCTGAGAAGATTTCAACTTATTTGTTATATTGACAAGAGTCTGGACTAGATGATTTTTGAAGTATTTCCCATTTTTTGTTATCTGACCCAGATCATCTCTCTAAACACTGAACATCTACTCAGTCTTGCTTTGGTCAGCCTCTGCAATCCAACTTCACATTAATTAGGCCCACAATGTTCTAATTTATGGAATCACATGAGTGTTTTAATGTTCCAGAAACCGCATTATGTACAGATAGTTTTCTTGAAGCCAGCTTCTGTCTATTAAGCCACTAACTTAGTTACTGAAATAAATCAATTTTTTGGATTTCCAAAATCCTTTTCCCCATCTACTAACCAATTACGATGTGTCTACACAACATACAAAACTAATCAAAATTTAACTGGGCTTTGTCAGTTGGACATATAAAGTTGCCAGGTCTTTAATGGGTCTGGTTAAACACCCAGCATGAACTCAACCACTATGGAAAATCTTTGGGGCAGAAGTTAGCAAAGTAGAAGGAGGGCCCCTTGAAACAGAACTGGAATGGAAGGAATCTTGTAACACTCTAATGAGCACAAGAAAACCATTATGAACAGGTTCTAAATGTACTTAAATTCCCTACAATTATATCATCGTGCTATTCATCACATACCACTTGTTGTCGCAGAATTTGTATCGATGATCGTCTGCCGGGACGATATCAATCAACAAGATGTACTTAGTCTTGGGATTCATCCCTGTCACTTTCACTTTGTAGCTTGGAAACATCCTCCTTATGGGAAAGATAAAAGAAAGAAGATGGGGGGAGGGTGGGGAGGGAGGGAAGGAAGGAAGGAAGGAAGGA